GGCCTCGCTCGGTAAAAACGTCTTGACTTGTTCGCCTCCTGCTGCCCCTGCGGGACGCGAGTAACGTTCCCTCCGCCGGGATGAGAGGGTAGATAATTGCCCGGCGACGCCCCCGCTGCAGTCATTAAAGATTCACACCGTCCTTAGAGAACAAGGAGTTCATGTTTAGTTTTGTCTAGAATTACTTCCAATAATTTACAGAGCACTTACATTGAACAACGAAAGCATAAAATTGAGAAGACAATTGAGAAAGGCACACGATACAATCGGGTTTTGTCACAGAAATAACAGTGTCCATAGTACTCTATTTCGAGCTCCGTTTATTACAAACAAGGTAAAAAACCAGCATTGCAGCAGGCGGCACTTCCCGCCCCAAGCTCGTTCCGTAGGCGCTCGGTACACGGCCCTCCAAAGCGCTGCGCCCAGCCCGCCGGGAACACCAGGCGGGGCTGAAGCCTGAGGCGCTGCTGGAACAGTCCTTGTGCTTTTGTGTTGTGAAGTGGAAGGGACGCAGCGTCCAGGCTGAGCGCGCGTACGGGCACCACCAAAGTTTGGTTCAACACTTTTTACATACGCAGCGTATGGCCAATGACTACATTCAAACTACCGAAGTCATTCCGAAAGCTCTTCTAATTACATAAGTCAGCCAATAGCAGAGAAAAATAATCTCGAGAGGAGGGAGAAGAAAGTCATGGGGGAAAAAAACCCAAAAACTAGCATTACATATTTTGAATGAATGACTGGAAGAGCTCAGTTAAAAGAAAAAAAATAAAAAGGAATTAAGCGAACACACAAAGCAAGCTGAAAGCACCATCTGCAAAGAAGCCAAAATGCCAGAGAAGCTCCAGCGACTGTAAGCCAAAAGGCTCATCAGTCAGAAGCCATCTCAGCCCGTGAACGCTGTTCCGTTTTCCCATGGTCTGCAGGAAATGGAATTTGAAGTACTGTCCGCCTCGCAGCTGAGGTGGTGGTTCATGCCCAAGTCAAAAAGCCGAAAACATGTCCCAGCACCACGTAGCTCCAAAACACTTGTCTATGTCACAAGTTAGTTGGCCATTTTTGTTATTTTAGTGATGCAATGAGCTAATGACAATACAGAAAACTGCAAACAAGCAGCTGGAGACACAAATACCAACTTATTAATTTTTTTAGCTACAGGTGCTCAAGCTTTTGCTAATCAGCACATCATTGTTTGTTTATTTTTACAAAAAATCTCAATCCTGAGAGGCTACATGCAGAAAACAGCTTTGTGTAAAGTTCTCTTTATTACAGGCAACATTAGTCCATACAATAATACACAATACTGACATACAAGTGTAATCTTTCAAAATCATCATTTAAACAGCAAAGACCAAGAAACAGAATTTTAACTACTTCATTTTCAAAAATTAATACTTTTTTTTCCTCCCAAGATCCTTTTTCAGTAAATTATATTGAAACATACAAATAGAGAAAAAATACCCATTCAACATATAGTGTAGTTAAATGGTTATTTTGTTTAAAATCTTTAATAAGAAAATCCTTTTTAGCAACCTACATATAGATAAGTAGCAAACTTTGTTTTAAACAAATCCTCTCCATTAAAAGATCTGAAGAATTTTCATCCATCATTTTCTTCTTAGCCCATAACGCTCTGTTTTATAATACCTTGATACCTTAAAGTTTTTCAACTGAAGGACTGATACTAGGGGGCTTCCTAGACAGTATAACCTCTCTTCCCCCCTTCTATTTCCTAACTTTCTGTCCAACAGAAGGTGAGTAAGCACGTAATACTTCAGATTTTTTTAATCACCACTCTGTTTCATGAGAGCATAGACAGGTCTGCTCAATCCCCCTAAATCTACTATATTTTGCTGTTCAGGAGGAACAATATATGCCAATAAAAGCAGAAAACCTGCAGCTTTTCTGTCACATGCTTTTGATTATTGTCAAATTTTCTGGTTTATGCTTCCAGCTGATAACATGTATGTGTCATCTCAGTATTAGTTTAAATCTTTAAACAAAAAACTATATTTTCCAAAGTCATTATCACTGGGAGCAATCAAGTGGTCTTTTCGTGCTTTGCTGAGCTTCATTCTTAAAACTTGCCTTCGTTCTTCCCACTCATGGAGTTCAGCATTTCCATGGGCAAATTTACAGTTGTTTCCTTCAGTGCAAGTACCAGCCATATATCTGTTAAAACAGATTTCATATAGTATTTCATAGAATTATCATGAACACTATTGTATCTAGGTATTTGCTTCTAGTCATGTTTTTCAAATACATTAAAATATTAAGGGAAAAAAATATTGGAAGAGTATTTACTTTTTAAGTAAGACAATACTAACTCTGCTTAGCATTTGATTATATTTTCCTTTCCCAGCTGTCAAGTACGTACAGAGGACAAGAGATGGCTCTTTCTGTTCTTCATGCTCTTACTTTACTGAGTCATTTCATGCCTGAAACCTTTAATTTCAACAGGTCAAATTATCAGGTAAATCAATACCTTATCATTTAAGTTACTAAGTTAAAGAACTACTACTGTTAAAAAGTCCAACTAATAAATTACCCTTTGTTAACTAAATTTGGGGTTTAAGTACTTAGTACTTAAGAATCTATTTTATCTTAGTACCTTTATATTAAGTTATAAGCATGCCAGTTTGTATTCACTTTATACTGCATGTACGAGGTCTGGTAGTGTTCAAAACATCAAATACATGTATGGTGTTACTTAAAAATTTAGTAAAGGGGCAAGTAAGCTTCCATGCAAAGACTGCAAACAAACATTAACTTGCTTTGTATGCTGTACAGTTTCTAAAGATTGCTAAAAACGTGCAAAATCTTTTACTTAAAATGGAGTAACAAAGTTATCCGTACCAGCAAATTGAATCTTTAACTCTATAATGCAGATTCTGAAAATTTTAGCCTTCCAAGAAGATTCCAACAGTGGAAAGAACTTTCAACAGATTTACACAAAATCTACTGCAGGTAAACAGGCTACATTTGAGAATTAAAAGGAGCATCTTTGACATCTTTAAAACCACATACCTATCACAAATGCTAAAATATCCAGTTGGAAAGCGATACTGCCAGCAGTTTTGATCGTCCTCAGTGTGGAAAACCTTCTCTTTATGCTTTTCAGAAGAAATGTGACCCTGCCATTGCTTCTCACTATTACAGTTCTTCCCACACATCCAACAGTGAAAATCCACCTATTTTACAGGGAATTTGAAAACAAAACATTGAGAATTCAGTACTGCAAGCAAAGAACTGTTTCTAATACATTTTAAATGTTTTCTTTATGTTGGCCTGTAAATTGTTGTTTACCTAATCAGATATAGTTATTTAAATAATCACCTGAAGCTTACGATCTCCATTAGCCTTAGAGGATTCAGAAGAACTGCTTTACAGTGTCAGTTAAAGTTTGCATTTAGCGGAGCTAGCTATGATCTAAGGAAGCGCCAAGAAAATAAGGCCAACAACGTATGTCACTGACTGGGGGGGCAGGGGACACACACCACAAAAAAAAACCTCCACGTGTGAATTCAGAATTATACCTATGGATACTTACTGTAACTTCAGCATAGTCAGTTGGCATGTGAATTTGCTTCCCATTTTCTTTGTTTGCCTGAGCAGCTGTATCATCTCCTTTTTCTGGTTTTTGACTTTTTAGCCATATGTCATACAACTGCTCCAAGTCTTGAACTAATGAGAGCAGAAGCTAAAATAAGTAATTAGCAATTAAGGCAAGAGTTTCAGAATACTAAATAAATGACTGAGTTTGCAAGCATAATTTAGTCCCCACCTACTGTAGGAAGAAAAAAGGAAGGACACAATGCAGAGTTACAGAGTTTAGAGATACGAGCCAATAGCAATACGAATCTCTGGCCACTTACCAAGACCCACTTCTGCTTATCTAGGGGAAAGAAAGATGTTAAACATTTCTGAACGTGCACCCAAAGCACAGGTAACAACTGTGCCACTAGGTAATAACTGTGCTGCTGTGTACGAATATCTGAATTTCAAAGTACTAATATAAAGTGTGCTACAATTTGGGGTAAATTTAGTCTGCTTTCTTGCAGATCACGATATTATCATTCACAGAAAGTGAATAGCAATTCCCAGCAAATACACTGAGGGAGGGGGAGAAATTCTTCTGCAGATAGCTTGCCCCCGTATGCTGGTAACAGAATCCTACTGTGTGCACATGGCAATACAGACTATAAACACCAAGCAATATGGCTGCATGGATCAATATACTATTTGAACACATCTAAAAAAAATTGATACAAACTGCTTTATTGTTAAAGAACACATCAAACAACAAATATATAATATGTAGCTATTTTTATTTAATACCGGTTTTGAATACCCAGTCTGGACTTATTCAAATTTTTTTAAAAAGGCACCTGCAAAGTTTACTACAAAAGACAGTGAAAGAAAGTGGATTACAAAGTAATTGAGGAACAAGAATAAAAGAAGAACAGTTAGGTTTACAACATGTGAGGTTTGCTCTTCTACTTACTGCTGTTCTCCTTCATATAGGTCCACATCTCTCTTTCCTCAGGACTGTGAGCAAATGAGCAGTTTCCATCGTACTGACATTTCTTGCCTGAAGCAATATGATTGCACAACTGGAACATGAATTAAAAAAATATCCTTATGAATATAAAGTAAAATGGATGAGAGTAGAAAATGGGCATAGGTGTTCAGTCTTGGCTAACGTTTCCCCTCCCAATCAGACATTTATATCACATGAAAAATAAAATCATGTTTATTTTGTAAAAAACTCATATATTGTAGTTAGAAAAAGCAAACTGCTGGAAGCAAGTATGATGACTGCTTTTTGCCTCCTACCACATTACCAGACCACAGATATGTCTAAACTATTTCTGAGATATTTACTGGAAATAGTAAGAACTTAGTTAAATCACTTAAAAAGTTATTAACTTCCACTGATGAGAAAGGGTTTCAGTAATAACACGCGAGATCAGTACTTTTCTAAGGCTGAACTCTGTAGAAGCACTATTAGCATATTCCCACAGACTCCCATGGGAATTTCTGCAGAACTTATGAACCCAGCCCAATTACCAGTATTTTCCAGTTACCACAGTTTCTTAACTGAAACATTAGTTTTAGGTTAACATACATCAAATTGCAGAGGCACTTGTTTCTTTGCGGGAAGAGGACGAATGGTCATCCACTTCTTACGTTCATTAGACATTACTAGCACCACACGGCGATCTTTGGTCCATCTAAAAAACATGTATTCAATGAAAGAAAATTCTATTAATAAAGACACACCATGTACACAAAGAAGAACCAGGAAAGCCCAGAAAGGTTCTTTATAAAGCTTTCACCCTGCATTTAACTAAATTCTACTGAAACTCTACCATAACTGATAATTAAAAAAGAAACCAAAAAAACCAAACAGCCACCAAAGTGTTTCTCATTACCAATTATTAACATACTACAAAGAAATGTTCTGCTTCAATATGTTTTTTTTTTTTCATTCCTTGTATGACTCTCTCCTAAGCAGTAACAAAGTTTCCCAAAAGAGGTTTTAAATGGCTGACAAAATGGTAAAATTTTCACTGTTTGGTCTTACTTACGGGTGTCTTGCCTTTGCACTACAGTATTTTTTGTTTCTGTCTGGCTCATTAACTTGGCCATTTCTCCAGCACTGACCACAAACAAACTTCATCTTCAAATTAAGTGATCCATATTTCATTTGGTTCCCAAGGATCTTAAGCCAAAAAAATAACAACAACAATAAAAGGTATTTTGTATCTGAAAAAAAATCCATACATAATTAGAAATTACCCCCTATGATAAAAGTTTGCAACACATTGGGAAGCAGATGTTACACTGCATGCCTTGTAATAGTTTAGCTTGTAATTTCAAACTAGATATTTCTTAACAAATGCATTTTGATTTAACTTATTTCTGATTTAGGTATATGTACCCAGAAGTTGTGATAATATACACCAACTAAACACATAGAAGTCCTACATATTGAAAAGATAATTAACTGCCCTATGGCAGTTGACGTGGAAATTATATTTAGGTTTTATGTTCCGCCTATGACAGAATAAGCAAAGCAAAAAAGGAATTGCTTAGAAGCAAAGTAGGCATTTTAGGGTAAATGGAGCGAGCCAAAGAAAGCCTACAGTGAAAGAGATTATTTGAAGAAAGCATTAAAAAAGTAATTTCTAACATAAGCTACATTATACAGAGACATAGAAAAAGAATTATCAAAATCACTATATAATTAGTTTAAGGGAAACATGAAAATACCTGTGATCCATGTGCACTAGCTTCCATGTTCTGCCAGTATTTCTTTGATTCTTGAACAATAGTATCATGTGAAATATCTGTAAAGGAAGGGAAAAAGGTCTTGAGCACTTATGACTGTTGTAGAATTTCAGACGTGCTCAAATTGGAATGCTACTGAAGCCCCAAAGCTTTTATCTATTTTTTCTTTTTATATATAGTATACATATACACACAGTCACGAACGTGAGTGTGGATATACGTTTACATCCATACACACACATATATACATACTTAAGAATTTCATGAGGGCCCCCAAAACAGAAATATTGTATGTATCATCACATTGAAAAGCAAACAGAAAAGTTTCTTAAATTACAGATTGCTCAAATAAGTTAAGATGCATCTTTGAGTACTTATTTAAACATAATGTACTAAACCTCTAATGACAATTTAATTAGAAAAGCTACATTGTATTACGGACCACAGAAAAACCATCCAAAATGCAAGCTGACAGACACTAGATTGCCCCTGCCTTCTTTATGAAGTCTTTAAGCAAGCCCTGTTAATCACATTTTGTTTCAGAAAAAAAACATTCTTATAAATACTTTGGCTAAGGTCCCTATTGGAGCTATACGTTGTTCACACACACACTGTAATATTTACTGCTCTAATTCCACACAGACTGTCATCTATGTTTGGATTTGAGGGTTGGTAAAGTAGCATTCCTTTACTTCCCACATTAAGAAGAGGAACCTCGTCCAAAGAGCAGAGGCTGAGCTTTAACTGACTTTGGCTAAGCATGAGGGCAGCATGAACACATCATAAAATAAAAAATATGCTGTCCTTGATGAATCCAGTTCCTTGGAGAACCCAACCCTTATTTCAAAATAGAAATTATACAGTAAGTATTTGCTATCCTTGACTTTGCAGGGGCAGCTGGTAAGAAAATAACTGTTTTACTTTCAGACAGAAGTTTCTAAAGGCTCATCCCAGGAGAGTGAACAGGAAATCAGCAAAGTCTCTCTCTATTTTACTTTCTTCCTCCAAAATTTTCAGGTCGAGTCAGTATGACATCTTGTGCCAGTACGCCTGTACGAGAATCTAGATAGATGCTGAAGCAACAGGGAGCCTCTTCTTCAAAGAAGGGACGGGTGAGGATAAATCACAGACACAAAGGGGCAAAAATGCCAGAAACACTGTAACACATCGGGATCGCCACATTTCCCTTTTTCCTCCATCCATCACAATGATCCAACATGATTACTTAATACATAAAGTACTGCTGTCATACAGAGCAAGGTAGGAAGAATGAGCAACTGTTATGTGGTACAAATTATTTCCTGCTAACAGTTCCATTGCTTTTTTTTTAAAAAAAAAAAAGTCATGGAGAGTTTGGAATTCATAATCAAGGAACGGGTTGTAAGTAGAGAGACATGTCATTAAAAAGCTATCAGCTAGAAATGAAGTAGTAAAATTTGTTATCCTCAAAGCCGCCAACAAAAACAAGCCAGATCAACAAAAAGCAGCCAAAATGTCCCATGTATGCAAGAAAAATAGTTACGTTTTATCAAGACATACATTAATGAGAGACAGAGTAGCAAACTGGAAAGATTTATTTTCCGGCCCACTATATAAGAATATTAGAATGGCAGTAAGCTAAAAGAAATGTTTAACTGTGAAAAAACTTGGTTCTTGTACTGGGGGATGGAGGGAAACAATGGCGTAAACATTTCAAGCTTTTCTTTCAGCGCTCTGTGAAGAAGAAATTTGACCAAGATCTTCCAAACTTTGAAGGTTTAAAAATAAAAACTGTTTTACTGTTTATTGAATATGCTGTGTGAAGTATTCCAGCAAATTGTAAGTGAATACACTGATCCCAAGTTGCTAATTTCAGAGGGGAGTTGAGACAAGGAAGAAATGGCATTACAATGAAGAGTAATGTGAGCATTTCACAAAACACACCTGTTTCCTTTTGCATTATCCAGACTTTGAGCTCTACCAGACTGTGGGCATAAAAGCATTTATCCTCTCGTAAGCAGCCGTAATGCACCTCATGTCTGCACAGGTCAAGTTGACATCGAACTTGAAAAGGGCGGATTTTGGAATATTTCACCATAGTTTCTCGCAAAATGTGGACAAGGCACCTGTTTTGAGAACAGTCAATTTTAGATATTCCTTAAAATGTGTGGAAAAACACAAAATAACCATCCCTCATGACAGATTATTCAAATGTCTTTTAAACACTTTTTACTTGAAATCAGAAAGCCAAAAAAGTTTCCAGAAGGAAACAGCATCTAATTATCATTTCTAGGCTGAGTAAACCAACATCATGGAACACCACTCTTGCAAAATCCAGAGGTGTCTGGCACGTCCAGAGGCATTACTGAATTTAATCCAACTGGATCACTGGTTTCCAAGAGGGAAAGCGTATCATGTCCACTTTCAAGTGTATATCCTGATCTAAACACAAACACAAGTACTTACTCTTTTATACAACACCGCTGAACAAAGAGTTATGCATCAGAGTAACAACCTAGCTCTTACAGCTCCAATGTTTCATCAACATAGGGAAGTGGAGTACAAACAAAGCAATTAAAGTGCTCCCACTTGCGTTTCCATCATATAAAAACATCTGTTAATTCTCCAAAATTTATTTAACACTATCACCACTACGAAGTCTCTGTTAACTTTCAAAGAATAATTAAAGACACTTTCCTCACACAGTTTTTTTATCAACTGAATTAATAAGGACTATGGTCTATTTCAGACAGAGTAATTAAGGCAAACCTGTTCTTAACTGACCAAGTTAAAACTACAGCAAAATAAGCAAAACAGACCAAAGAGAGCAAACTTATGAATTTCTATATTAATTTAACATCACACATCTATTTACAACAATGCAGCTCCCCAGGTAGATAAGCTATTAACAAACTGACAGCAAACTCAGTACAATTCAAATGTGAGGGCGTATACCACTAATTTTGAATGCATTGATAAAGAAATAGTTCATTTTCAATTTAGTTATATGAGACAATCCTTGTTCAGTAGGTTTGTCTTATCAGTACTGCCAAAGCACAACAGTCAGTAAGCAAGGAAGAGAAATTAATCAACACGTAAGAAATGAAAGTCAGTATTAAGAAATGCCCTGAAACCCTTGCTTTTAATTTGAAACTTAAAAAGATGGTATTTTGGACATACTTGTTATCTTCAAAGTCGTGCATAGCAGGATGAGAACAAGATGATGAGTTATCCTTGTTCCTTTTGCTTATTATTCTGGGTTTGTGATCAAAACATTTCTGGAATACAAAAACAGGTAATTATAGAGTATGTATTTTATACATGTAAAAATATACCTTACCCTAAAGATTTTTAACAGGGACTTCAACTAGTCTCTAATCTAAAAACTAGACAGATGATTATTGAACATGTATTTCAAAGTTTACAAAATAGTCATGCATGAACAAAAGCATTTCTTTCCAGGTAATTTTATTATCTACTATCATTTTTATTGTGTCATTAGAAATAAAGCAGCACCTCACAAAGAAACATAAATAATCCATGATGTTCTTGAAGAAGTCGGGACACAGTCAAGTTGATCTTTCCGTTTCCTCCAAAAAGAGCTTCTCGACTAAAGGCTCCTTTGCGCTCCAGCGTCCACACATCTATCTCCTCTTGGCAATACGCAAATGTGCAATGACCTGGATATCTGCATTCCTCTTCAGCAGCAACATCTAACATGATAACATTGAATATGACATGGCTTTTACACAACATTTATTGGAAATTCAACTTAAAACTTCCACTATCTCAATTTCTAATGTTTTTAATAAAGAAGCTACACCTGTTGTAAATAGGTCACTTAGTTCTAGCAGACAGAAGCAAAACCTGATGCCAAAGGACTTGCTGAAAATATCAAACCCCTCAGAAAGGCTGATGCACACCTCCATCAACTATCCTTTTCTCGTCTAAGGCAACAACGCTGAGAACCCAGAATACCCTTTAGTCAGATATAGCTGTTAATTAATCCACGAGTCATCTTGCTTACATCATAAGTAGAGGTCCATACTGCAAAAGTCTAAGAATGCTTTTTTGTTATTGTTTTGAACAGTAACAGCCCAGCGCTCAGCAGCAACGTTATTCATGATGAAGAGCAGTAGAGAAGTACAGTGCATGTTCTCTTAATAATCACATTAATGGTCAAACATGGCTCTCCTCTCAGCCTTTGAAAATATAAACAACCCTGTGAACTTCCTTCTCAACCTCCCATGAGCAAGAATAAAAACTCATTCCATACTTCACTGTGGAAAGGCTAAACTATTATCACTTTGAGTGTAGGCATCAACATTTTACTATCTATAGCACCTACCTTTACATATATAATATGGTCCCACATACTGTGTCTTTGTTGGTCTTGGACGTATTTTTTTCCATGATTTATCTTCAGAGTTTTTTATTCTACCAATTAGAATATCCTTCTTACATTTATGTTCTAAACTGGGATGGTAAGCATAATCCAGTAATTTAGGACCTGTAACAATCACAGAAAATTGCTTATATTTGCATAAATTGCAGCACACTTTTAGCATTTCCATACACAGACTGGCACATAAGCCCAAAAGCAATGAACACACTGTATAGAATTCCTATTTGCACCAGCAACTCCGAAGAACCAAAAATCATTAACAACCATGTCGAGCAGAATAGAAAAAAACCTGAATACTTACAAAAGGACCAGTCTCAGCAAGAAAAAAACCCCACAAGTTATTTGGGGAGGGATGCTGTGTTACAACCAGATTACTTTGGGACAGCGACAAATTGCTGCCTTTTTTTCAAATTCCAAAATATACGTTTCCGTAACACTAATTTAAAACTTAAATTGCTTCTTTATAATAAGTCAATGTGGATGAATTCCAAGGATCAGTAAATGGCTCTCAACCTTCCACTTTTGTTGTATTAGAATAGTTACTATGTTCAGAGACAAAACACGCTAGGTAAGAAGTACACATGTACCAAAAATTTAAATGCCAATCCCAGAACTTTGTGATTTTGGAAACAAAAATATGCGTAGCTTTAAACTTAGTCTTCAGGATGACACTGAAGTGAAGATTACATTACCACTAAAACAAAGAAATCGGGGAGAAAGTCTAAAGACAAGCAATGCTTAGTCAATTTGGTATTTAAGGGACTACAAAAACAAGAGTGTGAACCAGTTTCCCTGGACAAGAAGCTGACAGAACAGTACAATTTCAAAAGTAGGGAGCAAAATCAGAAGACACTTAAAGGCTTTGATAGAGATGCAAAGAAACAGAAGAAATAAGATGCTTTGATACAAAAAGTCAAGATAGGAATGTGCCAAGTACTCCCACCAACATTTTATAGCTCCTGCTTTTAACAGCACATGTTCTGTGTTTTTTTTCAAATATTGTTTCATGGATTTTTCTTGTAAAAATAATATAAAACTAATATAAAAGTTCTTAAAACTACAAGAGTCATCCCTTAAATGTCTTGATACAATTCTTTGTAAGATCCATTACTACACTGCACTTTATTAGTATATCAATATCAATGACACCTATGACTTGAAAGACAATGCTTATTTTTAGGATTAGTCTTAATAAAACCTATTGCCTCTAGAATACGGCTCTGTTTAACAGCAATAGCTCAGGCCTAAAAGATTAGTTCTATTAAAGCCCAATACTGGTTAAGATCCTTTGAGTCAATACACTGGAGTTAATTATTACTAAGGTTTGGAAGCCTCAGGATTATGATTTAGAATTAGTTTGAAAGAACAATAAAACAGATGGGATGTGAAGGTTACCAGGTACTTTGAACTGCGGTTCAATTCCCCATGGCCAATCAGAGAGAGTACTGAGAGTTTTTTTTAGTCTTGAGCAAAGGTGTCATTCTTCACAGTACCCTGGGGGTTGGGAGGAAAGTGAATACAGAATGTGAACGACCTTACATAGTAAACCTACAGGTTGGGAAAGCGTGTGGTGATTTGTGGTGGTTTTAGGAATCAATCTATTCGGGCAAGAAATAAGGACAAGAAGAAAGAAGATAAAATAGTGGTTGAAACATTTTACCAGTTCCTTAATCATAAGACCGTACTACATCTGCAAAGAACAAGTCAGGATTAACACTGTTTAGAAACGAACAGTATTTTAACTTATGAACACTAAAATTTTAAATGTATGCTTTTTAATCTTTTAAAAATCAACCTAATTGAGTCCAAAAGCCTCTTACCTTTTTTGACAAAACATAACTGACAGGCCTGTCTTAGCTCATGTGTGCCTTCTAATGGGTTTCTTCCCGCAAGTGCTGAAGATACAGGTGTATTAGCAGTTGTACTGCTAAAAACATTTGAAAAGTCATTCCTAGGTTGGCCTGCGATTCCCATGTAATTTTCAGACCCAAACAAACTACTAGGGCCATTAATCTGTTGGAAGAAAGCATATTTTACTCGATCCATATAATTTAATTTATCTACAATTAAAATTTAACCTACTGAATTTATTCTTCAAAGCATAAGAAAGACTACACACAAAAAATTCAAAATACAAACTTCACTACGTGTCTGAGAAGGGGACACAGAGATTTTACAAACGCCGTATACCCAGCACCGACTAAGCGTATAACAAGACCCACCCAGCTACAGGGAGTACAGCAGCCCTTGCCAGGCTAATTATTACTCCATCCTGACCCATGAGGATGCCATCCTTCACGCCACCCTTGCCCACAAAATCAATGGCCAGCAAAATGTTTGAAAATACACAGCACGACTAGATCACAGAGACCAGATGGATTCTCAGACACAAGGCGATCTCTGCTCTGTTGCTGTACTAGGACAGTTCTCCAGAACTTCTAACGTTTGGCACTCGGACGGTAAGAGATTTTCTCTCTCTTAGGTTGGTTATTTTACACTTCCACAGTATTTCACAGCAAGTTCCTCAAAATGGAAAAGTTGCTATGACAGTAGTCAAAGTTTGCATATATAAAACAACATTTGTAAATTTTTTGCGTTCAATTACCATTGCTGTGAGCTACTGTACAACTGTTTTCCAAGCCAGATTCATATTTTAATGGTAGAAGTCCCTTTTTTTTAAAAACAGAAACATCTACTGTAAAGATTAAGATCTATGTTAAGCCTTCAAGACGTTAACATTTGGCCTGATGTGAAAGAAAACATGAAAAATACTTACAAACAATGGGGAATTATTACTGCTAAGTGTTGGTGTTCCATCCCTGGAAGCTGAACTTGAGAGGTCTAAAGGAATAAAAAGAAGGTTTGATTATATCATTTCCCCAAAACAGCCTATGCAAAAAATTATTTATCATTCCTGAGAAGTATCAAAGATTTGAGGTTTTTTGTTTGCTATGATTACTTTTTTTTTTAATTATGTTAAAGCCCCTCGTAAACATCTCGGCTGAAAAATTACCAGGTAATCATCTTCAATGTAAACATCTGATTAGCATCAGCAGTAGCTTCACAGGCATATGCTGAAGCAACATGAAGATACTTGTGCAGTACAAAAGGGTAGGTAAATAAGCAATACCTGACTAGCAAAAATGAGGAGATGAAAGAGGGTTAAGAGGATTCTTCTATTTTTAATTTTATTTTGTAAATTTGGCTTCGTTCTAAAGCGAGCATGCTCCTGTAACACTGATAATTAGAGACAAAACTTTATTTTATCTTCTCTAGTTCACATTATTCACATTATTTCACATACCTGATTTCACTACACAGTTATAGTCCCTAGAGTTTGAATTCAAACATGTAATACTGGTATCATGTCAGAGCACATAGTTATATTACCCTTTTAGAATTCTTGTTCATTGCCAAATCATCAAAAGTGGTTTCAGCTGTAATAACACATTTATTTAAAAAAAAAAAACAAAAACAAACCCCTTGTTCCTTCTCTATCCTTATTTACCTGAAACAAACAACTTACCAAATAAATGCAGAAAAACTGAACAGAGGGAGCTTGGAGCATGACTATGCAGACCCCAAGTAAACAAAAGCTTTTTTCTTTTCTTCTAAATTCTTGTGTACAACCAACACCGATTATCAATACTCTCAAAAACTGTGAGCACAGATCAAATGTTATGTAAGTGCTAAATATTACTGAATAGTTGTGAAAACTCATTTGTTAAAAAGAGAAGCCAGTTGGCTCATGCACAACTCACTCTCAGCAGAAAAGGTTAAATATTAAGACTCATGTCTTACCTCTTTTTGGGTCACTGATTGAAAAGGTGCTTAATGGTGAACAAAAATTTTCCAGTGAAGAAGCCAAAGGCTGTGAAAAGATTTCTGAAAGAGAAGGTGAAGGAACAAATCCTGCACTAACTGGCAGCGTCCCCAGCAAAGAGGCAGAGAAAGGTACACTAGGAGCTACACTTCCTGCAGGAATAGGTCCTCTGGCTCCTGTAGTTTGCTGGAAAAAAAAGAAATTCAAAAAGAATGTTCACACAAAGCAAAAAAACCTCTCAAGAACACAATGTGTAAGAGTATTTCTTTCAGTAACGTTCTTGCAAAGTTTTTATATACCTACTAAAAAACAACAATAAAAGGTACACCACACTATTGTAAGAGCTACAGTACACTTAGAGAACTACAGTAATCAATCCCTAAACAATGCCCTAATGCAAGGAATTATCCATGAATCCACCACTTCAATGGTTCAATCAGCTGAAGTTTAGTAACTTATTAACAGATTCGAATTTTTTTATGAATCCGATCAGAGCTGAATTTCCAAATTATGTTAAAAACATAAGACAATAGGGAAAAGTAGGAAGAGTCAGAAATCTACCTGATTTTTTCTAAATAAAGAGAACACACTTCAAATTGCAGTACAGTAAATAGTTAGGAGTTAGCTTTGAAATAAATCCTCAGATATAATCAAATGATACCATGTTCTGCAAAGGCCAGATCACCTTCCCCCCCCCACCCTGGAAAATAACATATCCTCTGCGCACCTTAGTTAAGTAGGGGAAGTTTCCCTCCCTCCCTTCTCCCTGTTGCCCCCAAAACCTCCCCCCTTGTCTGGAGGCTGACCAAACTGGTCTGCATAGAGTTGGGCCAATGTGAAACTCCCTCTGTTCCCCAAGTTGTTAGCTTACAACTGAAAAATTTCAGTCGGAAGGGACCTACAATGATCGTTTAGTCCAACTGCCTGACCAATTCACGGAACTTCCTAGCGTCTCTTAAAAATAAGTACTTTCTGTATTTCTGAAATACATTCTACAAAACAAAGTGGATACAACAGAGAATTAGAAGCCAAAGTATTTTTTGATTTAAAGATTTACAACTGCATCCACAGCTGAATAAGGAATTAAAATCACAACTAACTGAATAATTACGTATGCCACAGTTTCAGTGAACATTGCAATACTAAGGGCTCCACGTGACTGGCAGGGCCACAGCAGTGTCAGTAACCTTGCTAGTAAGTCCAGACCTCTCTGCTCATCAATCAGAGCTCTCATTTTGACTAACAGTTGAGAAACTCTGTATGCTTCACAGTCTGTTCTAGCTCTGAAGTGACAGTGTATTTAAGAACAACTCTTCATGTAACCACACTCTCCAATAATCTCTTCTAAAAATACAAAAAGTTAGACTCATGATGGTCTAACTATTTCTGGTTATCCAGGAGGTGGATCTGGACAAAGCTCTGATTGCAAACACTACTGAATGTACTAGAAGACCACAGCGCAAGTACTATTGTCCTGCAAAGTCATTAGCAGAAGTTTAACTATAGCTTCTACGCTGGCAGGCTGGGCACTCTAACACACTCTCAGGTTCTGAGAGGGTTTATTCGCACCAAAAAAACCCAAACCCAAACCAGCCCAGGCTTCAAACATCTGCTTCACTATTCAGAGTACTTCCTGAAAGTAGAATCCCTCCCACTGTGGTAGTACAGTGGTGGTATAGCAGTATTTCTGAGGTAGTATCTCCCCCTCAGCAACCTCACTCCGGTTTTCCAACACACAAACCCAATGTAATTGTCCTTGGAGCTCTGCTGAGTCCTGGCATCTCTGCAGCCGCATTTGCAAGAATCCGCACCTGAGAAAAATCAACCCCATCACGCGCAAATACAGCTCAGTGTAACTAGGAAATTTAACTCACACTTCACTACGAGCCCAACTTGATAAAAACATGAGATTCCACTCATAAGAACAGTTTTTTGAGAAAGAAAACAAACAAAAGTCTCACCATTACACTTGCATCTGGATCAGGCACAGAATCAAGTAATTCATCAAGTTCTTCACCAATAATTATGTCTCCATCTCCACAATCTAAACATGCTTCTGGCATAGAGAAAGAAACATTCCCTCCGTTTGCCAACACTGCAGAAGGCAAAGAAACCTTTTCCACTTGAAGAGGCATAACAGAAGATAAAGATGGTACAGGTACTGAGGACACTTTAGACACTTCAGAAATAAAGTTTGATGAAGAAGCAGCAGAAACCATCTCTTGCTTCTGGTCAGATAAATCTGAAACAGGTAAAATGGGAATGACTGGAACTTTTGTTCAAAGATGTAAAAATGTCTTGCATAACTTTTACCCTGACAATGTGCGGGGTGCGGAAGTGGAGAAACATGAAGAATGTTTAAGCAAAACCACATCAAATGTTTTCAGCTTCCACTAACTTCCAATTCATACGTATCTATGTCTTGGTGTCTATATATTACTCAAACTAGAAAAGACAGGAAAAGTTACAGACCTGATACATTACTAAATCTTTGGCATATTCTCCCCTCCCTATTTTTCCCAGTTAAAGAGAACAGTATGAGACAATTGCTATGGGAGCAGTTACAATCAAGTTGAGGAGATTGAAAGGAAATTTGCTCAGCCACGTAAATATGTAGCTTTACAGGTAAACAGATCAGACTTTTTACCACAGACCTTTCAAATGACAAGATGAATTTTCTCAAGAAATTTCATAACAAATACAACTAGATATGCACGGCATATCTAGCTTCCTAGCATTAATATTGTCACACAACCAAGACTCACCTAACTCAATATCTTCTACAGAAGACGAAGAATTCTGTAAGTGAGAAAAAAATACCTCTCAGCACTTTGCACAAGAGCCATTAAAAATTTTCAAACACATATTTACAGACTAAGAATTTAAGTCCTCAAATTTAGGTTTCAGAAAATCTGAAATTTATGAAGTCTAATGGCATTTGAAGGTCAAACACTTTTTTAGATAATGCATCCATCTGCAGACTGAAATCCACTCACAGTATCACTAAAAACCTGCAACCAACCATCAAAAACAAGAGCGATACTTCAGGGAATGAAAGAGTCTAAACAGTATCTTAAATGAGCTGTTCCTACATTTCCTCATTCAATTACAGCTAAATTGTCTATATTCCTGTGAAAAAAGTCTGTAAGATAAAGATGAACTCCTCTTCACTACTGCTATTCAGGCACATTACAAATAGCAAAATAAATGCAAGTTCAGCTGCTAGTGAAGGTTGAATTTGGAAAAATGCATAAATTAAATGGGACTTTATCTCAGCACCCTTCACTTTGATAACTGTCAACTAAATAAATAAATACATAAATGAATAAATAAATAAGCAAGCACATTAACTATGCCCTTGCCTCAAGACATTACAAGTAAATATATTCATTGCACTGGATTTAAAGTCTTAGCTAACATTTATTCTACAAAGATAACTTACATGATAATCTTGTGTCCCACTCTGTCATAAATATATAGGAAAACTGAACACAAAGATCGACAGAACCCTAAAGTTCAAAATAACAGCATCTTATATCAAATGTCAATTGCACAATTTTCACTTCATCATCATGAAGTTACGAAACAATTATTCCCTGTGGTTTAAAGTCAGCTTGCACTCAGAACAAGCAAAACCTTACCTGAGTTGATACATCGCTAGAAACTGAATTTGAGGAAGGTGGCTGCAATGAAAAAGATGCCTTCATTAAATACAAACTTGATATCAAGAGAGGGAAACCTTAATGTAAAATGTTAAAATAAAATCTTACCTTTGCTCTTACATATGCTTTCCTTATTTTTAACCCTAGTTTCTGAGCTAGTTCTTGGGTAAGCTTAATCACACTTTCATCCTAAAAGAAATAAATAAAATTTCATAATTTACATGTACTGTCATCTAGTCGAGACGTGTTTACATCTCAGTCTATATTCTGCAAGATTCGTATACGTAGAAGGTCTCATAATGCATCTTTACTCCTCCACAAACATATGGGACTGCAAGCTAACGCTGAAAAATACAGCTACCTTCAAGCAAAATTACTCCAATATTTGGCATTTTTAAAAAAGCCAGAAAATAGACAGTATCCTTCTCTTCCACTTATTTGAATTTAAAATAACGTAAAAAATTTTTCCAAAACCAGAGAAGTTCAGAGAAGTGGGTGGGTATTTTGGGGTGTATTCAGTTTTGTGGGTGGGTATTTTTTGTTTGTTTACTTGGGGTGGGTGTTTGGTTTTGAGGGCCAGGGTTTTTTTTGTTGTTTTGTTTTTACACAAATTCATGGCCACATTTCTGATTACCATAATGTCAGCTACTACATAACACTGATGAATATTTAATGAGAACTCTGTATTTTGGCAGTAATTGCATCATACAACTAGAAAAGTTGAGTTAAAAACCTGGTCCTATTTCACTCTGTCCTATAGTTATAATAGCTATCCATTAAAATTATTTTAAGATTTAGTTTTCAGAACATGTCCTATGGCTAGAAAAAGCTATTTATAAAACTTATATAAGCTTTAAGCGAAAACATTCAGATCTGGAGGTGAAAAGTGAGGATCCAAAGTCCAAAGTTACACATTCAGATAAACTGCTGTGTCTTTGGAAACACAGCTGAAACCTTCTCTATATCAAGAGATAAACCTATGCTCAACAGTTTGTCTAGCAATTTCACTGTAATTTTGACACAGAAAGGCAAAAAAATGCATCTCAGTAATCTGTCCTGTGATCAGCCTATTTTGAGCAAAGCATGTAGTTTCCATCAGCATTTTAGTTCAAATTGGGAATGTATTTCTGAAGTCATTCTCTTAATCATCCTCTCACTGCATTTTAGTTTGCATTATGAAGTGTCTCAAAGAGTCAAATTAGATTCGTTTCGGATGAAACTAAATCAAATGTGCTGCAGGAGTGCACTTGATGCACTCCAACTCTTTAAAAAAAAAACAAACAACAAAACAACCAACAACAAACCAAAAAACCACAACCACCCATGGAAATCAGATCCTCAGGACCAGCATTTCAGTCTACAGAACCTCTCCTATTACATCACACACTGTTTGCTGATATAGAGATTGCCTAACTTTAGAGGTGCATAGTAAGTGATTCAGATGGAGGACAATGCATGGATAGGAATGTTACTAAATGCTTGGAAGGCCGCAACACACTTATCAAAAGAATCAATATTGTACGTTATAATTATGTGTGGTTTTTCCTCATGTCATGAGTATACTTCTGACTGTAGAGAATTTTAAACAATTAATTCAGTGGTTCTAGCGTTTATTGCAAATGTTCATGGTGCTTGACCCTCACTGCAAATTGACTACTTCTTGTGCTGAAAGTTAACACAACAAACTGAGCTTGGGAACTGTAATCTCTGCTACCAGCCTTCAATTCCACAACAAAAATAATTGTTAGAGGAACAAAAAATATTTTACTGCATTAAAAAAACCCAAAACAACCAAAAAACCTTCAATGGTCTTGATTAAATCTTTGAAAATAACCATCAATATATAATTTGCCTACCTGCGGCACAGCAAGAGAACATTTTGCTACAGCATCATAAGCCTTCTTGTACCTTCCCAGTTCATTCAAAGCTTTTGCTTTCCGATAGAGGGCTCTGAAATTGTTTTCATTCAATCTTAATGCTATCTCACAATCTTCTAGAACTTTTTCATGCAATCCCTATGAGGAGAAAAAAGAAAAAGGCGCTAATCAGAACTATTATCATTGAAATACTGAATTTAAACTGTATTAGAATAAGGTATTGAAACACTATAAAACATTCACCAAGGCCACTGCACACTGCATGTATGAGTTTTGCTAAGTCACCAACTTGTGCAACTAAAAAGAAGCAGAGCCATCATTCATGTAAAATACAATAATAGTTATGAAGACAATTTAGCTCTTTCACAAGAGCCACCTTATTCCACAGAGAGAGCAGCAGACTCGGGTGCAATCAGCAGTATAAATGGGTAAAAATACCGTTCCATCAACTTCCAAGCCTAGTATGACTCTTTTATGTTAAGACTCTAGTATTAGTGACTAAAAATATCTCAATGTTTACAATTGTAAAAAGAAGAGATTAAGGAATATGCCAAAATGATGATTTTCTCAAACCAGCACCAAGAGCTTTTCACTCACGAGGAAACTTTCCGTGTCTTCATACTCTGTAAGCACACGGTTCTTGAGAAATCTTACAGTTTAAACAGAAGCTTACCATATTTGAAAAACATGCTATCCTGTTCACGTGCAGCTTCTCTAAAATATCATCAGAAACATGGATTTCTTCAGAATTAGCATAATCAGCTATATTTATAGCTTCTGTATAGTGACTCAGTGATCCTCTCCAATCACCTTCTCGATACACATCATTGCCTTCATTAAAAAGCTTTCTAACAAGCTCTCGTATAAATAACTGGAACAAAGAAAAGAAACACTCATCAGCGGCAGTATTTGTTGTTTATTTTCCGTCTTTCCAAATACATTTTTAAATAGAAAACGTACACTTGTAATTTCACAGAATCAAAATGAAATGCAAAACTTTTATCTATACTAGTATTTTTCTTCTGACGTTTTCCAAGATAATCTCTAATATTCAACACCACAATACATGTAAATAAAAGAGAGGATGAAGTACTGATAATAGAATTACTGTGTATAAATAAGTTAAAAATGACATACAATATATATGTTCCCTACATTTTTCTAGCAAGCAGCAGCCACAGCAACTGCCAAACCGGTAGTGCATAAAGGCTGCTTTTGCAGAGCAAAAGATGTTTTTTAATCTAAAATGTGAACAACTGCATTTTTATTTAATATGTCCTCAAATCCAATGAAACCATCTGCCATTGGATAAAAAGGCTAAAAAGGTAAGTCTGAAAATATAAGTAAAAAAATACGCAAAATAACATGTACAGAAACAAAATACTTGACGAAGGTTTATGTGACTGAGGTCCTTTTATCTCACTTTTGCTGTGCTATTGTAAACTTTACTCAGAATAGCACATTGTTTCATCCAATGAACGCCACAAATTCATCCCTAACACCAGTAGAGAAAGAGTTAATCTGAACTCCTATATAAGTACTTTTATACATATGTAGCACATATATATGATCCTGGGTATCCAAATATCTGAATAACTGTATCACAATGTAAGTATCCAATACTGAGACATTGTAAATTACCATTCATACTATACCATTACTTAAATGATTAAAACCAAGAATAACTATAAAAAGATAGGCCCATATTAAAAACCCTTCTGAAAACTCAAAAGGTAATTTCATTACCTCATATTGTTCTTGCGTCCCTGGATAGGGCAAAGTAGATCTAGAAAAAGAAATTAAAACATTTACTTATTATACATATTGCTTAAAAGACGATCAACATGGGAGAATACAGGTTCTTAGGAAAAGCAGTCTCACTTGCTGCAACAGGCAAATCACTAAACACTGTCCATTGTCCGCACTGAACAAGGAGGGAGTGCTGTAGGTTAGTTTTGGTTAAGCAACTGTGTTTTCTTATTATTAATGACCCGTTTTCATTTAAAGTTACAAAGCCGGTCTTAACTTTGCTGTTCAAAACGTATTAAGGTTTTGAATGCTATGAGTTTAAAACCTCCGTGTTTGTTTAAAAACAATTTCCTTCTTCTCCTCCACTGTGCAGAAACATATACATGAGGAGAACTGCAATCTTCTTGTAAGTATTATAAAATGACAAATTATCTGTCAAAAGAAAACATCAATTTTAATTAAGTCATACCAATGATACTACAGGAATTTTAAGAGTTCTTTTGTATGGCACACAACAGAGGTATTTACTGGTAACTTTTCAGGAAGAAAAACAGGAACCTTTTCCCTTCCCATATAGTTTACCTAAGAATACGTTTCTAAATAATTTTTGAAAGGGCAGGGTTGGGTTTTTTTCCCCAAAGAATGCTTTATGCAAGCAGTGAACTAGTGTGAAATTTCACAATTATTTTGTTAGCCAGGATCTTCTAGAGAAGAATTTGGCATTGATCCAAATGAAAATTAACTACTAAGATGATTTTTCATTAGGTTAAATTTTAGCTCCAGACAGTTGAAACACTTGGGTAGCGGTGAGCAGACCCATCCCTTTCAGTAGCAAGTGTAGCTGGAGCTTACAGTTTACAGCTTAGGTGTAGCTGTCCGTAAGTCTAAGGTGAATTTTCAGGCTATAAACATTTTCCACCCACCAAAAAAATTCAGTGCTGATTTTTCTCAAAGGCAGAAAAGGAATACCCTCCCACCTTCAATCTGCTCTGCTTGGGGACAAAGGGGGGGTCTGTCATTTCTTGGAGACTGCTCTCCATTTCCATATTCATGTTAGAAAATACTCTGAGGACAAAGACAGGTCCTCCTCCTTCCTCCACTGGTGCTATATTAAAAGGACCTTCCCAGAGCTAACCATCTCATATATACACGTGTATGAGCACACAAGCATAAAACCACAAAATCATACTCTATAAACTGGAGTCCTTTCTTAATGTCCTGTTGTCTAGTGCTCCTCTCTTCCGACACATTGGACATGTTATCCTGAACATCCACTTTTCGGATATGCCACTCCTCAAAAAGGAAGAAAGATAAATGGCTGTTAATATATAGCAGTTTGCATTTGGACCAGAAGGATCCAATCTCGCATCAACGCTAAGCCCATCATACAAAGACGAGACGGCACCACAGCTTCAGCGAACACACTGCAGTGCTCACAGCGATACAGGTAGAAGCCCCAGGTCAGAACAAACCGCCCGGTTTGTCAGTGCCCAGTTACACAACACTTGTACAGAAAACCTTTCTTCCAACTTCTGCTTCATCTTTGGTTTTCCACTTATTTACTCCAGATCATAGAGTCATGTTCGTGAAACCAAAGCAAACCAGCAGCGCAGCTTGCATGCGTTACTGCTAAACCAAGCTAAAGTTCCACTCTGTCCCCCCTTAATAGCTTTATACTTCTTTTATTTGTTTGTTGAAAGAGAAATAAACTCAAGACCCTGGCGTATTTATTAATAAAACCCAAAGTCATTACAAAACTACCATTAAGCCTAATTCTGGAGTCTCTTATCATCACCCAACCGCTAAAGTATAATTAGAAGCAAACTACTACTGCTTTAATAATATCTACCAGTCGACCAAGGCGAAAATCTTGGGAACTTTACCAGTAGCAAAGAAAAACTGAATTACTTTAATGTAATTCCACATCGTCGATTTTTTTCCTTCGTAGCTTTCATTTGCTGGATTTACAAACACTCAAGTTAAATAGGCCAAAACGATCTGTATAACCTTAAAGATAAGGCTAATTACAGTATAGATTCACAGCTGCATACAGTTGTGACTAACTGCGATATAAGAAGACAATTTATTTTTAGAAAAAAGATCAGTAGGACAAAGGTTTATTCTGAAAATACTGCAATTCAGGAAAAGGCTTTTAACTTGGGGATTTTTTTAAGAAAATTACTTTTTGTAGGAATTCATAGTTAAAAGAAAAAGGAATTGCATGCAGTACATTTCTGTTAGTCTTGAAACTAGGCTAAATAAAAAGCCAGTATTTCGTGCCAGATTACCATTTCACATCAACAACAGAAGAATGAAAACAAAGTAAAATAAAAAAAAAAATAACCCCCAGCAAATTCAACAAAGCCGGCTGGAGAAGACACCCTACTTTCTCCAAATAATTTGGAACAATGAAACAATCTGAAGAGCTGTCAGCTCTATTAATGTTTACAAACCTTTCCAAAGCATCTTAAACGGACATATGAAGTCCACACCATTTCAGGTCACTAAGAGTTAGCCCTATTGTAACACATTCCTAAAACAAGCAGAAGAAACTGAGTAGTTTTCTTAAGGTCGCTAAGCAAATTAATGGAAGCACTTCAAGGTCCCCATTTCACCTCACCTCCTACTCTGACCTCTAACATCAGCAAGCTTTAAACAAAATAAAAATAAGAATCACTCTCTTGGACAGTTAACAATAGTTCACTGACATGAATTGTTCAGATATTGCTTGTTTAGGTATATAAATAGCCCTCAGTAATCTACTCTCCAGAGAGGAAATAACCATGAACACCACCTGTAACTCCTTTTCATGTTATTTTAGGCATCATCTTTTCTTCCACGAGTTAGTAATATATACTGTGCTTTTGGCATATATATATATATATGAAAGACTTTTATTATAAGATAAGTGTTTTAACACATAACAATAGTATATCTATAAAGAAATCTAAGTGTAAATGCCAAAAGGAATAATTGTGAATCTGAGTATTTTTTATTAACTCATTCATGGGTCAGGTTTTAGAATTCAAACTAGGGCTAGTAAGAGTAAGAAACTCTCACACTAATCAAAGACAGCAGCAATATCAGCATATGCTTTCCCACAAAAATAAGTAAGCTACTTAAAACATGTTTTAGTCCCCTGACTTAACAACTGACAAAGTAATAACCTACCAACACACGAATCTTGCATATGTCAAGATCTGGGCAAGTATTAAGATCAGCTTTACTCTACTCAGCCCCGATACTCCACACCAACAACTCGCAAAGAAATGAAAAAAGTCCAACCTAGTAACAACTGTATTTATTTATCACCTCTAGGATAAATGTTAAAGAATAAAATACTACATTGAAACTTGAGGATGAGGAGATCTAATTTCTCCATAACAACAAAGTTAATGAAAATGCTACAAAATGGCATCACAGATTAAAAGATAGCTAGCAAGTGAACATATGTGAGTGGTGTAATTTATTATTCAAAGCAGTTCTCTATTTTTTTCCTACTTATTCATCTGCATCCATAAGATGTTCAGGCAAAAATTATCTTTCCTTAACATACGTTGACAGTCACATTGCCCCAATATTTGATGATTTTTCAGAGGTTTTAAAACTGTTTCAGATAGCACCTCTAACAGCATCTCTCCCATCCAAATTATTCTTAGATCCCCTTGAGCAACCAGAAACACCTTAGACTCATACAAGGCAAATAACGATCATGCCTTGACTTTTAATGTCATCCATCGACTTTCAAAGTTTAAAAAACCTATTCAGCAACAGCTTTTCTCCTCCATCTGCAGGGACAGAATTTCAAACAAATATACGTACGTACATACACTTAAAAAGTAAAAAATGTTGCTTTGTTGCTTTTAACTATTACTAGAAAAGCAAAGCCCATACTGTTGCTTTATTTTTTGTACAACTCACTGAACGAGACAAGCTAAAGGACAGGAAAGAAAAAAACACAGTATGGGATCTTAAAAAAAAAAAAAAGCAGACTAACATATCAGTAATTAAGGTCACAGGCAGAACTGATTGTCGCATTAAATGTTGTAGTTCTACAGCTGCTGCTACATGACCAATGCAAGCTCGATTTACTAAATCTACTAAAGCAAAAAAAAAAAAAGCTGCCTAAACCCAAACAAATTAAAAAACAACTTATACTGTTCCACCTTTATCACAGGCTTCAACTCATCATGTTTCACAAAAGCCAAAGCCAAGTGACGGAAAGTACACTGCCAGTAGCCAATGTCACCTTTTCTGATAGATGCTGGTCCAGTTGTACAAACAGGAGACACGGAGGCAAACAAGTTTGTGCCAGCTCTGGCAGACAGGAATACCGACATTCTTCCCACTTCTGCCTCTTCCTGGTTATTTGCTTTCCTTCCAACACAGGGCAAGACAAACTTCTGGTTTTCTCTATTTTGGCACTTCTGAGGCATTCAAGATAAGTTTTAAAGGACATTCACAATATTTACGGGTAATTCTTCAGGCACAAGAGCTTTGAACACAACTGCTAAGCTATCTCACAAAGCAAAACTGATCTTTGGAATGTAAGTCAATAAATTCATACAGAATGCAGACAACTGAGATTTTCTGTAGGAGGCCTTGGTTATTCTGAAAAGGAAGGTCACACTGCTTAACAGATTGGAGAGTCTAGCCTTTCCATCTCTAAATTGCAAATCCAGGGAGCAAGTATCTACACTTTGCCATGCCCACAAGTTCCCCCAGTTGCAAATTCAGTCCCGAAGGGCAGGGAACTGGGCAGGACCAGGGCTTTCTCCTGCTGCCTACAGTTGTGCAGACAGCTTATTTAGAGATGGAGAAGAGAGGAAAAACACATAACATTATTTGGGGACAGGAACTACTACCGCTGGGAATTAATGACCTTTGGCTGACCAAATAATTCTGTTATTGTTCGTTATTGACAATAGTTCCAGCTATTATAAATACTTTAAATAAGCATTCTCCGCACCTTCAGATCTAAATGCTGAGAACTGGAAGTCAGTGGTCCTCACTGCACCTCCTTCCTCACAGAACTAAAACTTAATTTTTAAGTGCAGTGTAGAGAGATGCCTTCTTTTAAGATAGAGAAGCATATCCTCTTGTCATGCATCACTGAGTTCACTATTAGTGCAATTACTGGGTTACAGGAATCTCAAATTAGATCTTTGTACAGTTCAAGGCACACTGAAAATTTTATCATGACTGCTGCTGATAGATCTCTACCAGCGTCAGTGGTTCAGCTGAATTATGAACCTTGACTGGGGTGCAAGTCTAGTGAAAAATCACACTGAGCAAAGAGATCCCCTTTTGTATTCCAGCATCAGCCTTCTCCCCCTCTTTACAACACAGGCAGGTGAGAAGGTAACAAACTCAAAATATTAAATCAACCCATCATTTACACTACCATATGTCAAAACTTTGATCAGCAATCAGAAGTTATGAAACCAGAAGTCTGTGTATAAAATCAAACCATGAACAGTTCACCGATGTTTCCACATAGGAAAACTACTCCACAAGAAAGTGGTTACACCCTGGGTCCCACAATAAAGGGAATATTGCAAAGAGAACGGAGAAGACTGAAACAGAACAGTGGGAGTAACAATATGACTAAAAGGCAGGCAGTATAAATCCCTTTCTCCTATAAGAAATGAAAGCCTACCCCTGCTTCTACCTCCTGCACCACTAACAGCAGCAGCAAGCATAATGCGTTCAGGCATCTGGATCCAAAAAGCCATACATGTGTAATTCCCACCCCAGGGGCACGGGAAAGCAGGCTCCTCCCTCAACAGAGACAAGTGAGAAAAGGAGGTGCACACACGCAGCTATACCCTAACTGCTTCTTAGAGATGTCACCAAGAAGAACTTCTCCATTGCTCCTAGCTCCAACCCAGTCAAGAACCGAAGCAGACACAAAGCACCTACCCAACATAGAATAAGCCTGACCCAAAGTAGATTTCTCAGAGCAACTTCATTGCTCATCCTAGCTATCTGACAGCTTCAATGCATAATCACAGACAATAAACTACAGTGCAAATTAAATCATGCCTCACAGAGACTGTAAACTGCTCAACAGACTTGGACTGGCATCAAAACGAGGAAGGGAAAATAGAAATCTTAATAAAAAACCTTTTTAGAAAGATCTTCCTCAGATAGCAAAGGCACAAAAGATTTAATATTCATGCTCATGCATCACTGTTGCACAGGACATTTCAAACATGCAACATGCTGGGAGGGGACACAGGGAAAACAGTACACGATGC